AATGAGGGTGTTGAGGGCGGTTTGGGGGTGTATGGGGGTATTGGTGGCTGCTATGGGGGTGTTGGTGGGGTTATTAGGGGTTCTGGACCCTTTTTTCTTTTTCTTTTTTTCTTTTCTTTGCAGGGTGCCGACGACCCCCGACGAGTAGGTGCCGACCAGTCAAGGGCCGCCGACCGTCGGGGTATGCCACACTGGTTTTACTCTATTTGATTCCAAAATGATTTCCCTTCTTTTATCCCCTTTTCTCCCCTACGGTTTTCAGTCTGAACTACTTAGAAACATGAAACTGTCTTTTCCAACAAAGTGCAAAGCTTTGCCTGCAGGAGTTTGCCCATTCACAGAACAAACAAATCAGTGACAATTCCGACCTGCTTTTCTCGTTTTCTTTCTTCTTTTTCTCCGTTAGAGCTATTTTCATTCTTTAGGAAAAGGGCTGACCTGTTCTTCTCATAGTCCTTCCAAGGAACAAAATTGTGTCCATTCAGTTCCTCCAGTGTCAGTGGAACGAGATGGGTTCTCGGCAGCAGCAAGCTGATGCTGTGGGAAATCTTCTGACCGAAGGTTGGCTCTTGCACCCCTGTGCTCTCTACAAGCCCCGTCTTCTCAATCCCCGTGCAGGCACTTTGTGAGGGCGTAGGGCATGCGGTGAGATTGAGGGAGAGGCTTCCTATAGGCCTCAGCTCTTTCCGAGAAAGCACCTGCATGCAAAAGAAGCAGGCATATGAGAATGACAACAGCAATCAGAGGTCCTGACCAAAACAGGGGACAAATGGTTGCACACGGGACGACAGAGCATCACCTGAGAAGGAAATGCTGTCACATAGTGCAAGCTCGAATCCAGTCTTGTCAAGGAGGTGTCCAATGCAGGAAAAGTAGTGTAACAGGCTCAGCAGACGAGCCGTCCACAACACAGACACATGGGCATTAGGAAGACCGGTCATCAGCAGAGACAACAGTAGCCGGAAAAGGTGGAGGAGGGAGGAAGGGAGCGAGGAAGCGAGGGAGCAAGGGTGTCAATGCAGGAAAAGTAGTGTAACAGGCTCAGCAGACGAGCCGTCCACAACGCAGACACATGGGCATTAGGGAGACCGGTCATCAGCAGAGACAACAGTAGCCGGAAAAGGTGGAGGAGGGAGGGAGGGAGCGAGGAAGCGAGGGATTGCGGGTGTGAACAAGGGAGCAAGAGAGAGAGAGGGGGGGGGAGAGAGAGAGAGAGAGAGAGAGAGAGAGAGAGAGAGAGAGAGAGAGAGAGAGAGAGAGAGAGAGAGAGAGAGAGANGAGAGAGAGAGAGAGAGAGAGAGAGAGAGAGAGAGAGAGAGAGAGAGAGAGAGAGAGAGACAGAGAGACAGAGAGAGAGAGAGACAGAGGTTGGCCGCTGTTGGTGACCAAGAAAAGTGGCACTTGACACAGAAGGGAGACAGGAAAATGGAGAGAGGGAGTCGGCAAACTGGGAGCAGTGGCAGATTGGAAGAATATTTGCCTAGCAACACGCAGTCGAGAGGCATTTCACACAACCATAGCCGAGGGGGCTGCATCACGTTCACTAAACAGTTTTTTTTGGCTGATGTAAGTTTCGCTCTCACCTATTCCCTGTAACTCGCATCATGTCCTGCTGCACCACCTTTTCCACACTGACAGCCAGACTAAAACCCACATTGCCTCATTGGGTTTACGTCCTGGGCTTGGCTTGGGCATCCACACTTGGGTTGGGTACAGAGTTACAAAGTCATGATTTGTCCTCACTCACCCTAGAGAACATTTGCAGAAGCAGGTAGTCAGCTGCCAGGTGATCACCCCCTAAGAGCTTGGAAAGCCTCTCTACCAAGGATTGACGGAGAGCTGACGCTTCCTCAGGAAGTTTCTAAAAAATCCAAAATCACACCCACATAGTAGAATTAACCCACAAATAGAGAGGCATGAGTCAGGCAACCTGATAACAGATCCCCTTCCCACCACCATCATCACCAACCAACAGGGTAAAAAAAGCAAAAAGAGAAAGCCATAACTGGGCCAAAGACCACCCATGCACAATTCTAGGCAGGCATGCTCACAGAATCAGATGTCATTGTTAGCAAGGACCACTGTCACCACTCAAGAGGGCAGGCAGGCATCACTAATTCTGCCTGAAATTGCTGTAATAATGCCATTCAAATCATTGAATTCTGCAACACCAAGTTTGTTTGTTCAGCAACAGAATGGTTGATCTACATGATAAGACTACAGGCCCACTGAGATTGTGTGTGACTTCTCCACCAACACAGAGCCTTGATCTTGATCTTCATTCCTCCATCTAGGAACATCGGATTTTTTTGGTTTTTTTGAAAGGGCTACGGCCTTGAGATATCGTCATGCAACTGACCGGCCCTAGGTATTCAGAAATTCAGAAAATTCAAAATTCAGAATTGTAGTATTTTTAATTTTTTACTATTTTACTCATTTATTTCCACCGGAGCTCGAACTCCGGTCATTTTACTCATTTATTTCCACTGGAGCTCGAACTCCGGTCTGTATTTCAATAGTTCAGCGGTGTACCAACTGAGCTAGTGCAGTTGGTATTTGGTATTGGATTGACCTTGCTGGAGTAAACTGAGGCAGGGAAATTTTCACTCCAGACATTGTACACAACCTGATGGACTGGATTTCCTAAATGGATAACAAATTAACAATCACTGATGAAGTAAATGTCAAGGACCAGCTTAACAAACTATGCAAAACAATCAGCTTCCAAACCTGCACATCGCGTACGAACAAAAGGGTTTGAGCAGTGGCGCGAGCCTGGGAGGGTAAAATGGGACTCACTGCCATAGTTGACACTTCCAAATCTGAGCCAGGATGAGAAAGCAAGGGGTTCGATGAAATGACCCGCCGTATGCAGATGCAGTGCAGTCTTGGAACCTGATGACATCACACACAATAACACATTCAGACGAACCTTCACGATCAGCACCAATGCCGACGCCATTTGTCCATCAGTTGAGCTCACTGTTCTCTGCTCTGAGTGCAAGAAGCACTACACACTTGCATGTTAGTCACAGCATATTCGCCCAGCCCATATAGCTGAACGGCGCATGCATGTGAGTGCCATGAAACAGATCATAAGTTCAAATCCTCATGGCGTTATATGAATACAATAGTGCTAGGCGCCATAGCTGTTCGTGCTCTGAGTCACAAGTGGTTAACGGGGACCCACTGAGTCCAAGAAGCGACACACACTGACAGGTTACTCAGGTAGCTGGACGGTACGCACCTGTCACTGTTACTAAGCTGATCATAAGTTCAAATCGTGATAGAATAGCATGAAATTGCCCTGAATACAATGACGCTAGCGTCGCTAGGGGCTTCACCCTTCAGTAGAGACAAGATACCTCATTGTCTTGGCTCAGCCTGTGGCTGAGCAGTAGGGTACAGAGGACCACAAAACGCATGACAGTGTGGAAGGCCGAGCCCCACTCTGGGTGCTGTGCACTTGCTATGTAGACCTGGCTGCTATGAAGACTCGTTGCACTGGGTCCTATTATGTGTGCTGGGTGGGATGTGCGCTGGCCGGTGTGCTGACTGGGTGTTACGACTACTGAACAGATGGGAGTTATTTCATTTACACGTGTATGTACACGAAGACGTGAGTTATACTGAATACTCAGTAAGTTATACACCACTTCAATCTATCTTTTCGAGAAGGATAATCAACTCCACAAATATCGATTAAAACTCGAAATCTTGTGTTCGTATGATTTTTTTTTTATAAAGAACATTTGAAAAAGATTGTCTGGGTTGGTATATATACAAATTTATGAGAATGATGTGTCTGACGCTTTGTCTTTCTTGCACACATCATTCATATGGCTCGTACCGAAGTTCTTACAGGTGACTGTAGTGAATATGGTGAAGGCATACTCTTACCCCATCAGTAATGGTGGAAGGTCGAGGTTCCCAGGGTTCAGTTGTTCGCCGATGAAAGAGGTAAACTCATCACCGTGTCAGACGAGTAATCTCTGACCTTATTACTTCACTATATGCGGGAAAGTCCTAACCCATTTATTGAATGAATTTCAATATGCAATGGATAATCCGCAGGAAACCAACATATAAGGGTTTGGGATGCTCGAAACAACACCGTATTAATACTGCTATTTAGTATTTATCTATTTAGGTGCACTACATTTTCTATTCTTTTCTGCAGATGTAGCTTCTCTTTTTGTTTGTACAGGTCTCATAAATATACCAATAATGAAATTCTCTTTAAATTGGTGGAACACTTTGCATCAACCTTCTAGTATTAGCCAATTTGGTACATCAATACATTTTTCTATGCTGATACCCATCTTTCTGATGTTTACTAGCTTTTTGTTGTTAACTAACTTAACTTTGATTTTCCTTCTGATAGAAACACGACAGTTTAGACAAAGCTGGTGCAGGTAGTCTGACTGCTTTACCTGTTATCGAAACACAAGCTGGAGATGTAGTTGCTTATATTCCTACCAATGTAATCTCCATTACGGACGGACAAATCTTTTTGGACTCGCATAGCCACTACGGGAGAAGGATTCCATTTCTTAGCACATGACGTTCTCTGCAATCAGACTCGTTCTCAAACACACTTTTCATGCATGTAAGCAGCAACGCAGCATACTGGCGACATGCGCCCACTGCAAAACTCAGAGATATGGCTTTCAGATACGAGTTCACTCTCAATTGGCTATGGCGACTTCAGCGCCCAAACATCTCACTGTTCACATACACTGGATCACCCTGGATATCCCACACGCATCACTCTAGCACTCAAACACACACACACACTCGCTACTAACTACAGCTATGGCAGCTATCGCTGCATCTAACCTATCGCTATGCTAACTCCCTCTCTCTTGCCCACTCGTCCCCCGGGCTCATCTGCAGACCTCCTTGCACAAGTTGCTGTGGCAGCGCTTCCACATGGCTCACGCAGGAATGAATGAATGGCTGGGCGCTGCCTCTTGATTTATACTTCAGAAATCGTTGGTCTGCCCTTTGCCATCGGCCCTTGGTGCTCACAGTCCCCCTGTGGTACTTGCTGGACCGGACTGGGACTGACTGGACCTTCCGCTGACTCACTGTGGACTCACCGCTATCCTACCGACGTTGTACTGCTGTTGTACTGCGGTTTAGTCCACCACTTGCCACTTGACCACTTGCCCACTTGCCTACCTTCTAGAAGGTCTACAGCTAAGCTCCTGGAACTCACTAAGACTTCTACGCTATAGACCTATAGATCGAACCCCTGCTGCCTATGGACCTACGACAGACCTACCAACTATCTGCGAATACACAGGTCAAAGGTTCAATTCTCGGGATCTATACAGATACTGTAGATAGGTAGGGTGAGGTCTAGGGATCGAACCCTGGGTACTTGTTACATCTTCGACGCCACACGGGTCCTACCGGACCCGACGTAGGGGTAGAGGGACACAGTAGGGCCAAAGGCCCGACTTTTGGGGGTACTACAGGCCGTAAAGGCCTTACCTTGGACCAGACCCAACGGGCCGGCCCAAACGATAGGACCGTTTGGGCCTGGCGGCGCTCTTGCGCCTGCCGCCCGCCGGTTGGGGCTGAACCGTCCATCTGGACGGTTCAGGGCACGGTCAGGCCTCGCAGCATAGAGGCCGACCTCTGCCCGCCGGTACAAAGGTACTGGTCCAGCCTCAGTGAGGCTATCAACCTACCGGCATTCTACCGGTACGGTATGGTACAGCGCGATACAGCGCTGGCGCTAAACTTAGCGCAGGAGCAGCGAGGAGCAGCAGCGCAGCATTAGCGCAGCTGCAGCGGCGACTGAGTGTACCGGCGGCCATCGCCGCCTGAGGTATCGGGAGTTGGAGGCCTCTCTCCTCCCTCCCCTCGCCAGTCCTCTCTCTCTCTCTCTCTCTCTCTCTCTCTCTCTCTCTCTCTCTCTCTCTCTCTCTCTCTCTCTCTCTCTCT